ATATTAAGTCTTCTGATCCATGAAATTAGGACATCTTTCCATTTACTTAAGAGTTCTTTAATTACTTTCATCGATGTTTTGTTGTTTTTATAGTATAAGTGTTGTTTTCTTTCGGTGATGTATACCAAAATATTTTGTTTTTTTTAGCAATTGCAAATGAAATTGATTTATTAGTTTCATTTTATTTGCGCATTGCCACTGCACAAGGAATACAATGGATTTTAACATTGAACTTGTATTCTGAGGTGTGACTGAAATTGTTCTCTAGTTTTATTTATTTTTAAAGATTTATTTATTTGTGCATCCAGAACTGGAGTACAGGCCAGAGGTATAGGGGCAGTGAGAAGATTCAGAGAGACAGAGTGGGGAGCAGAGCAGGCAGATTGATGAAGCACACCGCTGAGGGGAGCAGGGGGAGAGAGGAGAGGTCTGCTGCGCCCTGTGGGTTGCCTCTGAGGCCGGGGATGGAACTTGTGCTGAAGCGGCTTTGGCTTTGGCTTTTACGCAGTGCTGCGCTTTAACCTGTTGCTCAGCCAGGGAGGACCCTGTTCTCTAGTTTTAAAAGTCCTTTAGTGGATTCCTTAGACTGGGGAGCCTTTTATTTCATCTTCTTGCCCAATTCCCCAGTTATAATTTCCAGTACAATATTGACTAGGAATAGTGAGAGAAGATATCCTGTCTTGTTCTTGACCTTAGCGAGGAACACGCAGACTTTCAACATCAAGTGTGATGTTAACTGTCGATGCCGTTCATCGGGTTACAGAAGTGTTCTTCCACGCCTAGTTTGTTACGTATTTTATCATCAAAGAATGTTTAATTTTGTCGAGTGTCGCAGTCAGGGTTTGGTCCATGTGTCTCTGACTTCAGAAATGCCAAAAATGAGCCCCACATGGAACTCAACAAAGGTCAGCTGGAGCACACTGGGGTGTGGCAACGTGCTGCTGTTCTCCTTAGCATTGGGGTGAACTTGGGAGGGAAGGATGAGAGCACGAGCGAGAGTGATGTATAATTTGAGGGAATGTGTAATGATAGTAGAATGCCTGGCATAGGGCAAAATTGTAGGGGAGATGTTTCTGACCCACCCCGCAGGGACTGAGGCCTGGACTCTGCACACACAAGCCTGAAGCTGGCATGAGCAGTGCTGTTTGTATATAGTGATGGGCGGTTGATGGTTCCCTTGGAGCCGTTTCAACACAAACACAATGGAGCTAATTACCAGGTTCTGGGAGACACTAGGGTGGAGATTGGTCTAGCAGGGAAGGAGGAGGGTGGGAAGGTGGGGTGAGCACCTCCATGCCCCTGCAGAAGATGGAAATATTTATTGACTAAACTTTCTTTCTTTCTTTTTTGTAATTTATTGATGCATACAGAACTGGGGTACAGGCCAGAGGTGCAGGGGCAGTGAGAGGATTCACCAGAGACAGAGTGGAGAGCAGAACAGGCGGACTGACTGAAACACACAGCTGAGGGGAGCAGCAGGAGGCAGGAAAAATCTTCTATGCTATATGGGTCAGCTCCCTGGCGGGAGGGGAGGGTTGGGGGGGAGGGGGATCGGATCGAACCGGTGCTGAAGCGCAGGGCTAGGCTAGCTTCTAGCTTGGTAATTTGCGCTTAACCCATTGCGCCACCAGGGAGGGCCCTGTTGACAAAAGTTTCAACCTAACAATGAATCATACTCATCACATGCCAGGTGGACAGACAAGACAGACCCAGAGCCCACCATGCCCCAGGCCCCATTCTAGAGTTTTCCACACTGAGGAACTTTGAGACTTAGCCATGCCCCCAGGAGAACATTCCCTCAATTCTCTTCAAGCTTTGGCTTGCTGGAAGCCTTGGTTTGGTGTTATAGCATCCTTAGTACCTTTCTGACACTTCCTGGGGCTATCTGAAGGCTGCAACAATATCAGACTAGAATGTTCTGTTCTCCTTGTACGAACTTTTATGGCCACCTAGCTAGCTACCTTGTTTTCCCACTCACCCTTTCTTGAGTCTAAACTTGGTGCCAGGTACTTGATGCAATTCATTTCACCTGTCTAAAATCCTAAGAGAATTGAGATTATTAGCCTTCACTAACAGATGGGTAAAATGAGGCACAACTATAGTGGGGAAGCAGAAAACAAATTGACTAAAACATAAAATCACTTCAAATCATAATAATAATCTAGTGAACTTTAACAGAATGGACAAGAAGAGTATCTCAGAGATTTGAAGGGTGAGGAGGATCCCACCCTGGAGAGAACAAGAGAATCAACACCATAGATGGATTATAACATTAGTGCAGAGGCTCTGAGGCTGGACTTAGAGTTTCTGGGGAGCCCCAAAGAGGCTGGTGTGGTTGGAGTAAGGGGGAGAGCTGGAGGAGGTGAGGGAGGTGCCCAGACCGGCCTGCAGTGTGGGCTGCTAGAACAATGGGGTTCTTACCCCAAGGGGGATGCAGTCAGTTCTCAATTAACAGCACCTATAGGTTCTTGGAAATCTCAACACTCAGTGAAATGGCATATAAAGAAAGCAGGTCCTTGAATAATAAATAACCTCATATGGGGTTATTTTTTCTCAATGTCTTGACGAAACAATATTGAAAGAAATGTTATCAGAGGACTATTATCTACCTAGCTCCTCCACTGGACTGTTGATTCCAGAAAGACAGAAGTTTTCTGGCTCATTTTCTCTCTTTGGGTGTACTTGGCACTGAGGTGGTCTGGTGTACAAACTGAGTAGATGGTGTAAATGGGTGTGTTTCCTGCATATGTTGCTTTCATTAAAAAAAATATTTATGACCCTCCCTGGTGGCACAGCGGGTTAAAGCACAGCACTGAGAAGCTAAAGCCACTTCCGCATGAGTTCGATCCCCGCCTGCCCCGGAGGAGATCACATGGCGTGGAAGACCTCTCCTGACCCGCCTGCTGCTCCCCTCAGCAGTGTACTTTGTCAGCTGGCCTGTTCTGCTCCCCACTCTGTCTCTGGTAAAGCCTCTCACCACCCCTGAGCCTCTGGCCTGTACTCCAGTTCTGTATGTAAAAATAAATAAATAAATAAAAATATTTATGCATACAGAACTGGGGAATAAGCCAGAGGTACAGAGAAAGAAAGAGAATTTTCCAGAAACAGAGTGGGAGCAGAACAGGCAGATCGACAAAGTACACTGCTGAGGGGAGCAGCGGGCGGGTCAGGAGAGGTCTGCTGCGCCACGTGGGTCAGCTCTGGTCGGGAATCGAACTTGCACTGAAGCAGCTGCTGCTAAACTGGCAGTGCTGTGCTTTAAACCGCTATACCACTAGGGCGGGCCTGTTGCTTGCGTTTTACACACATTTTCCATTGCTGTTCACAAGCACCCTCAGGGGTAGCCATGGTTGTCTCCAATTTGCACAGGGTGATGGCAAGTCTTAGAGTAATACAGTGGCTGGCTCGGGATCTCTCCCATCAGAGCTACAGCAATTTCATTTCACTGTTTCCAAGGGTGTAAGGCTTGATACCAACTGTGCGGGAGAAACCATGCTGAGTGTTCATACACAAACCATCCTGTCTGATCCTTTAGCATGGTGCTGCATCTCTATTGCTTGGATGAGAAAGGCCAGATTGTCAATGGCTGGTTCAGGGTCAGGCAGCCAGGAAGGAGGACAAAGTAGGCTCTGCAAACCTGGCCAGTGTACTGGCCGCTGGGAAACTCCGAGCTTAATTTAGGTCCCTTGTTTAATTATTCATTCTCTCCTTTCTCTTCTCCTATTTATGACTTCCGCCTTCTTGTTTTGTTCCCTGGGTTAATGTCTTTTGTTTATATCTGCATCTTTGGCCTGGAGTGAATGAATCAACAATTCTGGAGGATAAAAAAAAACCAAAAAAACAACGCAACAAACCCAAATCTAAACTTGAACCCCTTTGTGGGTCTGAGGTCCTCTTCAGAAGTGTACCTTGAAGACATAAAACACTTTCAACATGTTCAAAACACAAGTACTGCTTATGCAATCTTGTTTGGTGTCTTAGTACCTCAGACCAGGCAGGCCATTATCGCAATTCTCCTTACATTGTCTGTGCGAACTGGGACGACCTTGCCCCACTTCATGGAAACTGAGACCCAGAGAGCAAACACATTTTGTAGGTGGGAAAGCAAGTCCAGAGCCCCATACAGAAAGTCTGCGTCTGAGCTGACGTTCTCACCATGGTGTGCCCTGACTCAAAGGCAGCAAGGATGGTAATTAGGTGCGATGTTTTCAAAGTGTTTACACTGCTGGATGTACACCCTCATCCAGTCGACCAGCAGAGAGAGGGTGTGCCCCTTCAGCCCCTGAGTCGTGTCCTAGCATGGCCAGAATAAAAACAGGACGATGGGATCAAGAGTGGGGGCGGGCGTGATGGTGGCTATGGTCAGGGGTGCTTCTTCCAAGGAGGTGTAGTTGAACAGAAATTGGCAAGATGAGAAGGGAAAGATCTCTGGGGAGACTTTTCCAGGCAGAGGCAAGGGCCCTGAGTCAGAATTGAACAGGTGGAGAACCCGAAGGAGTCGGCTTGGCTGGATCCTGGGGAAAGGGATGGGGGGCAGTGGTGCGAATGAATGCAGCAGGCTAGGCCTCACAGGGAGTGGATTTGGTTCCCAGGGTACTGGGGAGCCACGGTAGAGTTTTAAGTGGTCATGACAAGCTCAATGGCCTTTTGCCAAGCGCCCTGGGGCTCCAGCTCCGGACAGTGTCCAGAGGGGATCTCTCGTGCTAACAGCTCCGCCCACGTGTTCCACGAAGTCCGGCGCCCCGGACCCCACGTGCTCCCGCGGCCCTTTAAACGGCCCGGACCACGTGACCTCACCGCTCAGCCTCATTGGCTGGGGGGCGTGGCGACTTCGCGGCTGCGCAGTGACGCGCGCGTGTCGGCCCCGTCTCAGCCCCGCCTTCGGCCGGCGGTGGCGACGGCGGCTCTAGCGGAAGGGATGACGTCACCGGTTGGGGGGGCGCGCGAGCCGGCGCGAGGGGAGCGCGAACCGCAGTGAGTGTCCTCGCGCCGCCCGCCCGGCAGCCCGGCCGGCGCGCGCACGCCGCGAGCCGCTGGCGCTCGGGCTCCGCTCGGATTCCATGCAACAGCCAGGATGTGAAGCGGGGCAAAGCCGGGGGAACCCAACCCAGCCAGCCTCCAGGTAAAGGGGGACGAAACCATGAATTCGATTAAAAAAAAAAAAGAAGGTGCTCCTTTGGGGGTCTTGGAAGCAGTGGAGTGGGCACCGCGCCGGCTTTGTGCCGGGGAAGCCTGCACGGCCATTGTGCTCGGAGGATGCTCCGCTGCAGCCGGCTGCACGCCCAGCCGTGTGCCCGGCTAGCTGCGTCCGAACAATGCCCCGGAGGAGCTGGGCCGGTGAGGGCCGGGGCCGCGGGGAGGGAGAGGCGGGCGGGGCCGGGGGCTTCGCCTCGGCGGAGGAGGGGGCTGGGCTGGAATCGCCTGGAGCGCGGCGTTGGAAGCTGCCCAGCGCCGGCGGCTGCAACACCCCGGGCTGCGGGTGGGGCAGAGGCGCGGAGGGGGGACTCGCGAGTGCGGAGAGGGTGCTGGCCCTGGCAGCGCCGGGCCGGGGTCCCTGGGCGGATCCTGGAGGCAGGGGGCGCTGTGCTGGGGGGCGCGCGGATGCTCGGGAGTGGAAACCAGCCCGGGACCGGTGGCTCGACGCGGGGGCCGGGGGGACCGGCCGGTGCGCCCAGGGCGGCTGCTGTGCCCGCCGCCTTCGCTCTCCTGTTCTCTTACGTTGGAGGCCCCCCACTCAACGCTGTCTCCTTCTAACGTTCTCCTAACCTCATGGATCCCTTGGGGGGACGCCTCTCCTGCACCCCGGCCTTGCCCCACCCTTCTGCGGCCCGGTGCCCCCTTCTAACCTCCCGGGGAAAGCTAGGCGCAGCCCCCAGCCCAAGGGACTGGCCGACGGACGGGAGCGCGCGCCGGGCACCCCGACCTCCCCTCGGCGCTGGGGGCGCCGTGGGGATCCCCGGAGAGGGGAAGCCACCCCTGAGTCGCCAGCCCCGCGGGTTCTGCGCGCCCCGGGAGCCCCCTCGGGGGCTGGGGGGAGGGGCGGTGACGTCACCGGGGCGGAGTTGTCGAAACGGTTTGAAAGGGGCGCAGGGGGGGCGTGCCCTGAGGGAAGTCTACCCCCCGCAAGTTTGAGTGCGGGTGCTCTGGGTGCAGGGTTTTGGCCAAGTTCATCGTGCTCCTTATGGGAATAGCTCCCAAATTTAGCACTCCCCCGGTACCACCTTCCTGCAGGAGACCCTCCCCAAATCAAGAAACTCCCATTCCGGGCTTTCTCTCCAAAATTCTCAAAGCAGGCAACACCCTTCCCCCCCCAACAAACTGGAATTTTTTTCAGCCACACAAACCCCCACCCAAATCTGGAATCACCTTCTTTGTGACCACCCTTTCTCCAGATTTAAAACCCTTTAGTAGCTCCATAAATATTTAGCTTTTGAGAATGCCTCCCCCCCCAACCTTTCCTCAAATTTAGACAGCCTCTGGGTCTCTACCTCCCACCCCCAAATTAACAGACCTCGCCAGCGCTTCCATCTGGGATGCTACCCTCCCCCTCCTGGGCTCAACTGGGATTCCCCTCTCTCCCCCATCTCAATCTGGAGAAGTCCCGATTCTGAGCTTGGATCCCTTCTGCCTCTGGTCCAGTCCCTGAAATCGCGGCTTGGCTAACAAGGCTGGTGGAGCGGGTGTCTGGATGTCCAGGCAGAGGGTGAGGACTCTGAAGAGCAGGGACAAAGTCGGAGGGTCCCCAGAATGGGGACCAGCCTGCTCTGGTTCCTCTCAGCTACCACCTGGACCTTGACAACTGGGCTCCTGGCCTTCTCCGCTGTTGCCCACCACTGCTGTCCCTGGGGTGCCGGGGGTGAGGACTCCTCTTTGTCTGGGGCGCCCTGCTTCCCCTCAGAGCCGTCTTTCGGTTCCCGTTCCCGGGAGGAGAGGGGGCGCACCCTGCTCCGACTCCAGTGAAGCCAGCTGCCTGGAGCTTTTATTAATGGCCGGGGCTCCGCGGAATCTTCATTTGCATACACCCCTCCCCTCGCGGGTCCCTTTCCTTTGTGCCCCCTCCCCCCACCAATATAGCCTGCCTTCTGTCCCTCAGAATCTCTCTTCCTCTGCCAGCTGATACTTTGGCTGCAGAAGGCAGGCAGCTGGGGCTGGGGGTGGCTGCTACCCGCCCCCAAATCCCAGAGCCCACCAACTTGGACTTGGGTCTCTGACTCGACCCCCCTGGCCTCCTCAATGCCCTCTGCAGGGCATCTTGCTACCTGCTGTCTGGCTGAGTCTCCATTCTTCTTCTCCAAAATGCTTTGTCCTGCCGGACCCCTGGGGCCCCAGGGGTATCTTCACCATGACGGTGCACTTCTGCCTGGGGCCCAGCGCCCCCCCCATCCCAAGCCCGCAAACCCCTTGGGGGTTGCCACCCGGCTTACTCCATTGCCATGAGAGTTGGTATAATTGGGCTCAGGCAAAGAAAACGTCGCGGGAGACCCAGCCAGCCTGGTGAGCTCATGCGTTTTTCTATTCCTGCCACCCTGACCTATGACATGGGTCCCCCAGGGATGAGGGGCTGGAGCAGTGCTGTCAGTATTGTCCTGAGAGAGGTGATAGCCTGGCCCCCTCTCCTCCCCAGGAAGGTGGGGTTGGGGGCTGTTTGTTGTTCTGATATAGCAGGGGTGTGGCATTCGAGGGCACTGCTGGGTGGGGCCTGGATTACAGGGCTGGCAGGGGTGGGGGGAGATAGAGGGGAGTTCCTTACTCCCCACAGCCCTGCACAGGCCTCTGACCTGGGCTCGAGGTGAGTGCAGAGTGCGTCCAAACCAGACGCCTGTCTGCTGCCTGCTCGGAAATCCTTGCCACTGACAGCTTCTGGGTTTTACTCGATTTGGACTTTCCAAGCTCCTTTCTTTTTTTTCTTGCTTCCCAGGGGATCCCAGCCTTCTTTATGTGTCCATGGGTCCCGGTCGGAGACCCGCAAGGCATTTTTCCCTCAGCGCTGGTGCTGTTCTGAGCTGAGGTGTCTGGAGTAGGTGGAGGGGAGAATCTCCCCGGATGCTGGGGAGCTGCGGTGGCACCCAGGTGGACAGCCCTGGAGCAGCGGCTGTCACCTATTTTTCCAGTGGGTCTCCCAGAGCTGCCTTCTCCAGGACCCGCCCGCAGGCATCGGCTGCCCCACTCTGCTCATCACGACTGTCTGGGTGTGACTTGGTTTCTCTCTTGCCGACTAGATTGGCATTGAGCAGCACCTCACAGGTGCTGGCAGGCAGGGTGCACCTCTGCTTCCAGGTCTAGTGCCTAGAACTGCTGCTTCCAGAGCCAGGTGATGGGCGACCTGGGGGCCCACTGGCTGCAGGGCCCCGGACAGTGGTCAGGGAGGCGGCTGGCAGGGACCTGGGGCTCTGGGGCACGGTGTGGCGTTTCCACTGAGCCTCTGCGGCCCCGTGTTCACCTGTACCCTGTGTCTTGAGTACAGCCGTCGTGCGTGTGGGGGGGGGGGAAGGAAAGGGGGCGTCAGAAGAGTTCGGGATGGGGAGGAGATCCCTAAAAATAAAGGTGGGTATTTATAAACCCAGCGGTTTGGGGGATAATTGGCAAAGCTTAATGTTTTCAGCACAGAGCAATCCCCGCCCCCCCCCCCATTGGGTTCCACTGGCAGAGTCACGCAAGCAGATGCAGGCTCCTGGGCCTTCCTGGGGGTCTGCCCGTGGAGGGAGGCAGGGCCGAGAGGCTGAGCCCACCTAGCTCCCCGCTGCCTCCAGGGCAGCCTCCTGCCACCCTGCAGGGCATCCGTTCTCCAGCGTTGGTAAGAGGAGGTTGGTCCTCTGATGCTCTCTACCCTTGCTCTGCCCTTCCCCAAAGCCAAAGGCTCGTGAGCTGGTGGGGATTCTGGGCGACCCCAGCTGCTCCCGGGCTGGTGGGGACCAGAGGGGACAAGATTAATGCATAACTACTATGCCAGCATTGGGCCTGCGTGCCAGACCGAGAAGAGCCCGCCGTGGGTTGGCGGAAAAAGTCACGCCACTGCCGGGGTTGGGGAGAAGGACGCTTGGAGACCTTTTCAAATGGCTTCTAAATGTTGCCCTCTGCCCACCTCACGTTGGCCTGGAACCAGGGAACTGACTGGCAGGGAGGAGAAGGCGGTGCTGGGCGGAGTCATGGCTCGGGGCATGGCACCCTGGCCAGGACCGGCAGTGCAGAGGCGAGCGTCCCGCTGATTCGTGGGTCCCCCCCCCACCCCGCCCCTGACCTTCCAGAAACTCAAGGGTATCAAGTAGAGTACTGGTTTTTACCCTTTCTCTCTCTTTTTTCCTCTTTAAGAAAAGACACTTGAAACACCCGAACCCGACGTACCATTTCTGTCCTGTCTGACTGATGTTTCAGAAGGGGGATGTGCGTGGGGAATATGAAAAATCAATTGGCTTACGCGTCTGTAAAGGCGAAAATTAACGGCGGGAGGGGTGACTCACAAACCCGGCCAGACTTTTAAGTGGCTTTATTTTTGTCTCTTTTCTCCCCTATGGTGCTGCCAGCCCTACCCTCTCCTCCCCTGCCTGGCCAGCCTGGACCTGGCCATTGGTGCTCTTCTCACTTGGTTATGGGGTCCCTTCTTCTGTCCCCCAGGATTTGGACCCCCTCAAAGTCGTGCGGAATCTGAGTCCATCCCAAAAGTACACCCCGGTGTTGGGAGCGGCTTCTCTGTTCCTCTTGATGCCCCTGGCTGGGGCTTGCAGCTCTGGTTTGTGGGTCACAGAATGCCTTAGTGGGGCATTGGGATGTGAATTGCAGATGTTCTGCCTCCAAGGGGCAGATTTGTTGAAAACTCCCCGGGTGGTCTCTGTGCTGTGGAGGGTTTCTGTTTATTTGCTTGTTTTGTTTTTAAATCTTTCTGTCAGTCCTTTACAGGAAGGCCATGGGGTCCTGTCCTACTGGAGGAATGCAAATCCCGATTTTCCGCTTGGGTTTTTCCCTCCTTTAGTGACCTTGACTCTGCCCCTTAACCCTCTGTGAAGCAACACCCCTGCTAGTCAGCTCCGACTCTGACTCGCCAGGCACCCCACTGTGTAACTCCAGGCACCCCACTGTGTAACTCCAGGCACCCCACTGTGTAACTCTGCTGGCCGGTCAGCTGAC